TAAAATCATGTGGCCTAACCCTGCACTTCTCACTCAAATTCATTGATATTAATAGGAATCTTGCCCGAGCAAAAAGTGCAGAACAGAGCAGTTGGCTTATTTTATTATTTCAAAAGGCAATTGATTGGATGTCTGCCAGCATGAGAGCTGTTTTATTTTTAGTGAATCCCAATTAAATTATACATAAAACAGCCTTTTGAACAGAGGAGAAATCACCCCTCTCTCTCTCCCCCCGCCCCCCACACCTTCTGGCCACCTCAATCCAAGTAGTTCTAATATGGTACCATGTTGGGAAGAGGAGTGATAAAAGGAACAAAGGATCCTCTCCTGCTTAACTCTTACTCAGGATCTGGCCCCACATGAGTAAAGACTTACAGGATCAGACCCTAGATTATTATGAGTATTTAAAGGTTATCTCCCCAAATATATTTCAAAATTATTATTATTTTTTTTTAATTTCTGTGACTGGGGGTTTTAACCCATAACTGTCACAGAGAATTACAATATTAATTTATCAGTTGAATAGCTGACCAGTGATTAATAATTATGAAGGTGGCCTTTTGACTTGAAAGCCATGTCAGAAAATTTTCTGTGACCTTTCGGTACTCATGCTCTGTAAGGGCCTGATCTTGCAATGTGCCAATCAGCTCCTGTGAGATGCAGGGCACCCTTCACTTTGCATGAACTTCAATGGGGGCTGAGGGGTGCCCAGCACCTGGCAGGATTGAGCAGGATGGACCTGATCCTGCATCATTTGAAGTTTATGGGAGTTTTGCCTGAACAAGGTCTGCGGGGTTAATTTCAATGACATTGGTCTCTTGAATGAACCACAAGGTCTACACACTTATATAAATACATCCTCACATTAAACTAAGTTGAGGAAGGTTGCTTTTAAAATACATTAATAACATGGTTCCAATTTGAGGCAAAATATACAGAAGACCTTTAAGCAGCAGAACTACGAGCACAAGATTTCTTTTTCTTTTTTAAAAAATGATGTTTACAGAACTCTTTATGCATCATTAAGTTTTCTGGAATCCTGACCATAGCATGATGGATTTGTTTTAAAAGGTTGCTGGTGTTTAGTTTTGATTCACTTCAAAGGGGCATGTCAGAAGGAAGAAAATAAAGGCAGTTAGTTGCGTAAATCACAAGTAAAAAATGAGAGGGAACATGAAGGTTCCAACAACTTTGCCATCAACTGAAAATAACAACATTTATTGTACTAATACAAGCTTTTACTGTTTGATGCAACTAGAATATGTTTGGTTTACGGGAGAATAGTTTTTATTTAAAATATTTTTCATGGGGTTAGTGATGGTAGTGCTGGGGTTTTTTTTAATCTGTTTGTTTTAATAAAACAGCTCTAAAAAGTAATAGGGTTTAATAATCATGTTTAATGGTCATTTTCTTTGTCAGTTAATTGAAAAGACTAGGTCAAACATTACTAGAGGGGAAATAAACCTAGTGTCTTCAATATATGCTAATTTAGCCTTCTTTAAAATAGTAACTTTACTGTTGTACCTTTCTGCTCCCTTTAAACACAAATATTTTCCACAAGTAAATGCAAATCTGTATCTTTCTGCCGCAAATACAAGCTCTTTTAATTTTTTTAGCAAATAAATAAATAAATAAACCCACATAAAAGCTCCTGAGTAAAGACTGCCCAAGGGGAGGGAGAAGAAAACAAAACAAAACACCTAAAACCACCATATTACCAAGCAGTAATGCACCAAATACAATCTGGAACATGTCAAACAATGGTATCCACCCACCTAAGAAATGTGCTAATCTAAATCCTCAATTGCTGTTAACAATAATTAACTAAAACATGAAATATGAATGTGGATACAAGCAAGAGACAAATTAGTATTGAGAAGCTGTGTTTAATAATCTCCTAAAAGAGACCATCTGTTTATAAAGACCCCTTTTCCCTTGATCTCTGACATGTATTCATAATATAGACACAGCTGGATTTTTTTTATTTTTTAAAATACCCCGATACTATAAAGTCCTACCTACGGTATATCTGGTCCAAATGTTTGTCTCAAGTTTCAGTTGTTATGTAAGCACTCTGGGGCAATAAAATTTCACTTACAATCATCAGGCTTTGGAGTAAGTATTAAAACATCAGATGGACTGCACTGCTTTCTTTATTGGCTTTGGACAGTACTTGATTTATTTTTTTAACGCTGATCCTATTCTCAATGCTCTCTGGAATAGCTGTCTAGATGTCTCTTTTTCTTTAAATTACTAGTACTTACTTGGGCTTGGGTTTGTTTTGTTTGTTGGTTTAAATAGTTGTTAAATTACATTACCAACAGAGGACACTACTTTGGGAAGATTGCAAGAAAGTTAGGTGACTTCTAGGTATCAAAAAGCAAAGCAATTCATATACCATGTTTTCAATCTACTTTAGAGAAAAAGAGAGAAAAAAAACACACACCATCGATCCTACACTTCTCACAGATAGAGGTCACTAATGGACTGAATTTGAATCAGTGTGGTAGAAACCGCAAAGTTATATGAAAGTAATCTAGTGAAAAATGAACTCATTTTGAGATTAAAGAAGAGGTAGCAGAGATGATTAAGAAAAGCCCTCACCTTCACAGAAACAATGTTATCCTAAAGGTACCCTCTTTTCAGTCTGTTAAACAGAAAGTGCGGTACTGGGAAAGCCTGATACTGTTGCATATTTGAACTCCTGCTTGTTTTTGAGTTTGTAAACCTCAGTTTACCTTTTTCTTCTGTTAAAGGTTATGGAAAAACCAAACCTGATAAGATTTTGCACTTTGGAGATCTGCTATTTTAAGCAATTCAAGACTAGTACATTCTTGATTCTGGATTGAAACCATAGCCCATGTAATGCAGATTCCAACTGGGAGGGTGTAGAGTTGCTATAGGGTGATATGCCTGAATCCTAAATCAAGCTATCCAACAGGCCAGGATATAAATGTGACTTGTAACAGTGGCTCAGATTAGATCCAGACAGAGGAAAGCCCGGATAAAATATCATCATAAGAAATATAGGGTGTATGTGTGTGTCAGGAGGGAATCTTTTTAGAATACCATGTGCATTCCAACACAATTCCTCTTTGTTATAGCCTTGGACTTTGAAAACTGTGAGGAGTCTTCTGATCACAGATAATTTTACAAGCACTGAATTAACACAGGGATTGGAATTGCTTCATTTACAGAGTTTCTGCCCTACATGATCATTCTTTTAACTGCCTGGCTACCCAGTCAGGAGGGAGAACAGCAATTTAGATGGCAAATCCTCTACAAATGGAGAAGTTCAAGGTGCATATGTAATGCCCCATCATAGCCCAGTAGCAGGGGCTAGTTGCATAGATATTTTGCAATGTTTCATTCTGGATTCATTTTCAAGAGAAACATGAACCTGGAACAAATCAGCATTGTATTTTTTTTTATACAAGTCACTTTTTAAACTTAGTAATTATGGCTTTTAGAGGCATTTGTTGTATCACAGTGATGCATAGCCATGCCCCAATGATAGCAATGCACATTATGACTCTATTTCAAAGAGAGAGAAAAAAAGATTTATTGGTGCTGTACCTTTAAATTAATTTGGAAAAATGACAGAAGGCTAATATTGTTTCCCCCCCCCCCCCACCACACACACTTTCATTTCCATATAGATTTAGAGCCCTCTCAGTGAGTTTTCTCTGAATCCATGGTTGAATAAAAGGTGCCTTTGGGTAAAAATCACATCATGCCATGAATGAGGTGCATGGGAGGTTTGTGTTTTTTTTTTTTCTGAGTAAAGACTGTAGGATTTGACTCCACATGTTAGATCAAGCTTGAGGTCTATTAGATTCTATTAGTTTGCAAGCTCTGAGAAGTTAGATGCAGTAAATAAATGTGTGTGTGTGAGAGAGAGAGCGAGAGAGCGCTCTCTCTGGAGTATCTCTCCCGCTTCCCAGAAAATGCAACCAACCTCTTCTTTTCGGTTTAGCAGGGGCTCTGCGTGGCCAAAAAGCAGCATCTGAAGAAATCTAATTAGCACCTTCCACACACTGCACAGGCATTTACACGGGTTTGTACCTTTGACTTTATTAGCTTATTATAAGCCTTAAAACAGGTTTCCTCCATTACAATTAATTAAAAGCTCCTGTTGACTGATTCCCACTCCAAGGAGAAGGTAGATAGATTCTCCCTTACTTTGCAGCCGGTGTTTTGTTTTTGTTTTTATCCTCACACGATGGAGAGGGTGTGTGTGTGTGTGTGTTAAATAATCATGATTTGACTATTTACATTAGAGGCTGCTGTGTATTTGGAAGACTTGATGCAATTGTTTCTCTCTTGCGCTCACTTATGCACCCACCCCTGTTCATGTCGCTATAGATAGGGGTCTGATGAATTCTGATGCTTGTACAGTTAGTTCCCTTTTCTCCCCTTGTCTGTTCATTTGGATTTCTTAATGCTTGTCAGCAGTGAACAATCTGCCATCTCTTCCTAGCCTGGCTCATCTGTTAAAGTTCCAGTTGCCAAAAGGATTCCCCCCCCCCCCCCAATCAAACATTATTTCCACCCCTCGAGATTACAACTCAGAGGTTCGTCTCTACAGATCTTCTAGGTGTTTCCTTTGAAAGCTGGAGCCTTGTTTCTCTATCATGGAGAGGTTGGGGTGCACATACGTGCGCGGGGAGGAGGGTTGTCTTTTGTACGGATGCTAAAATGGTAGCGGGCAATCTATGGTCATTAAAATGATTTGCGATGATGAGGGTGAAAGCTTTGAGATCCATTCAAAATACACTCTGATTGAAACAAACCAAAGCCAGGAAACTTACATTGAAATTCACTAACTGGCGTAAAATAACCGAGCAACCCTCCTGACACTTGTCACATACCATTCATAAATCTGTGTGTGCGTGTGTATGTTTGTCACACACACACACACACACACACACACAGTCTCTAATGCGATGGAGGGTGATATTTCTAGTATAGAACCCGATCCTGGATCATTAACTTCTTACCTCCTTCTATTGAAGTAGGAGGGTAGCTGCAAACTGCTGGGGAACTGGAATTAGCAGGGAGGAAAAGGGGAGAAATGAAATCCCATCTGTACCTGGCAGGGCTGGGAATCCTTCTCCGGCACCGATCATAATCCCCCTCTGCGCCTTTTGCCCCCCACACCAAAACTTTTGCTGCAGCTGACGGCGCTTCTCCTTGGTGGTGGCCGTGCTGGTCGCCTTTGGCAGTATCCAATGTGGTGCGGGCGAAAAGCTGCCGGAGCCCGAGCCCGCCCTGCAGGCTCCGCTTCCCCGCAGGCTGGCGCTTGCCTGAGCCTCCTCTCCGGAGCGCTCCGTTCCCCTTCTCTCTCCTTCCTCCCTTAGGAGGCAGCGGCATCATCCTCCCCCTTTCTCCTCCACCTCCTCCTCCAACGCGCAGCCCAGGGCGCTGGCATCCCCAGCACACTTTCTCTCCGCGCTTCTCTTCCTGCCCTCCCGCTGCCCCCAAATAAATAAAGGAAGGAAGGGAGGGAAGGAGAAGCCGAAGGAACCCGATCAAGCCTGGTCGTTTTCTCCGCTGGAGACGATGAGTGGATCACATGAGGAGGAGCCACACAGACCCAGGACCCCGTGAAGTCTCAGGAGGGACCGGACACATATGTGTGAACAGTCGCGTGTCTGTCGGTCTCCCTTTCTCTCCTAGTCCTGGGCTTGCTTTCAGCTGGGCTTGCAGTCTGATCTTAGCCGTTATGATGCCCCAGATCTGACTATTCCCTGCTAATGTAAGTCGTGCTTTTTTCTCTCTCTCTCTTCCCCCCTCCCTGCCTGACACCCCAGGGAGATGTTTACAGTAATGAATTCAGTTGATAGCCATCTCTCTCTCCCCCTCTCCTGGAGTCCCTCCCACATTGCTAGTTTAAAGAATGCTTGGAAGGCAGCGCTGGGCTGCAACCTAGAGCTTTCCAAGAGGCAAAGTCAGGCTCTGGGTTGTTGTTTTTTTAACCCACCCCTTGCCGAAAGCGGTGTTTGCTCCATCAGAATAGTGCCTACGCGAAATGTACTATATGGCGCTGGCAATGCGAAGCATCCTAGAAGTGTGTTACAGTCTAGATCCGGGCCGATGTGTGGGGTTAGTTGCTTTAATTGCAAAGAGGGGTTCTCCTCTCGCCAAATAGCTGTGCCAAAGAAGGTAACACCGGCAACATAGCGCTATTCTTGCATAATGAATGCCCCCCTCTCCCCGTTAGGAATAAGGCCACCGTGTGCTCTGCGACTGTTCCTTTCTCCTGTCTGAGGGCTGTTGGATCATATCAACGGGGATTATTTTAAATAAAAGAAACTCCCGGGGCCAGTGATCCAAAAGAAGAGGTGCCCAAATTATAATAATCCTCTCCGCCAACATGGCGTTATTTCACGTGCGTGCAACCTCTGACGATTTCTCTCTCTCTCCCTTTTCCCCTCTCTACGAACTTTTATCTGGGAAATAACAACAAAACAATAAAATCATATCACTGGGGAAATAAACGGATCTTTTTTAATACGCTGTCTGATTGCCGTGATCAGCCAGACAGATTTAAAACTGCTGGAGAAACCTGAGGATGTATTTTATGGCCAACTATGTCTTGCCATACATATCAGATAATCCCCATACTGATGTCTTGTACGGAGCCAAGAACCCCTTTTAGGGTTTTTTTTGTTTGTTTGTTCTGTTTTGTTTTTTGCACATTTTCCGGATTGTCTGCAATTCTCTCAGTGGGAAAGAAAAAAAAAACCTTCCTAGTTCTGTAGTAAGTGCCTGCCATGTTCTAACAAGTCCAGATAAACGCTGTGTTATTTAATTTTTGAAGAGCAAGTTGCAATATAGACTTTCCGAGGGTGGGAGCCATGGCTACCTAGAAAGTGCAGGACACAGACTGTGTTTTAAGTTATTATAGAGGTGGGGAGAGAGGAAAAGAGGAGGGAGAATAGGTGAATTCAATCAATTCCATGTGTCTATTAGCCAGGAAAGGCAATTGAAGTGTCTCGGGATGTATTTATTCATTGCCTTTGGCTGCATGATGAACTTGCAATGTCTGTTCATCTGTAGTTTAAAAGTGGAGCCATCTGACATAGGTTTCTAAATCTTATTCTAAATTCATTTGGGGTCTAAATTATTCCCCCCTTTTCAAGGGCATACCTCATCCTGAGGCCGCTTGATGTGGGATGCTCTGTTTGATGCAATCAATAGAGATGGCCAATGTTTTAGAGAATGGACTTGTGCGCAATATTCTGTGCCCCTCTCTCCTTTATAAACCCCCTCCACACACACAACCACCACCACCAGCGCTACCACCACTTTGACTTTCCCTTCCACGCGCCAACCTTTTCCCACAGTGTAGTGCCCTTAAAGGTGGATAAAGAAAGACTACAATTATAGCGCACTGAAATAGCCCGCACCCCAGACAAGTTGTATTGCAGAAGTGCGCTGAAAAGAATGCCAAGGGGCAAATCAGGGGCGAAGGGCAGCCTGCCTGTGCCATCTTGCCAGGAACTTCCCTCAGCGGATGCAACATCAAAGCTTGCTGCTCACTACACTGCCCAGTCCCGGAGCTTTATTTCTCCGAGCACAGCAGAAGTCGCCTGTGACCGCCACCACCCCTGACCTTGATCTTACTTCCAGATGAGACATGTATCTACCCCGGTGCAGTGCCGTGACCCGGGAGGGGGGAGACTAGAATATCCTGCCCTTCTGTAGGGACTCGGGGGGTGAGGGTGATAGGAGTTGTCGGCATGATGGCAAACACCTAGCGGCTCTATTACCTTTGCAGCACAGGGGTGGCAGGTGTCTTCTCCAGAGTCCCACAGGGATCAGTAGGATTCTGTTCACAAAGCATAGCTAAGGCGCTTGTGCCGCGACTTCGCCCGGGCTCAGACAGGAGTACTGTGCAAACCAGGGAAAGCTGAAGCGCAGAGCTGGCACCGTTCAAGGCAGGGTGGAAATAATCACCAATGAAGAGAAGGGCTGCTGCCATCAAACCTACTCTCTGCGTGCAGCTTCATGCTGGCCCCGAGGAATGAAAGTAGCGCCAGCCCTAAGGGGTTAAAATCGGACCTAAACATTCCAGAGAATGAACGGAGTCTTTCAAAGCTCGATTCGGAGTTTTTTTTTTAAAGGGCCAGGAGCCCTGTTGGGTGGGGAGTATGTGTGTGGGGGAGGTGGGGTAGGGAGGGGGGGGGTTAAAGGTAATTATTTTAAAGTTAGTTTTACTGAAGCTGAGTGATTGGTACAAGGTGAGAGACATTTTCTCCTTGTCAATCCCTACAAATAGACTTTTTTAAAAAGCTATCAATGGGACTGATTGCAAGAGATGTTTGCTGCACTATCTCCCCTCCCCCCATGATAGAGCCGCTCTCACAAATGCCTGACTATAAGTGGTGCTGGAACTAGGGGTGCCGCAGCACCCCTGGCTTGAAGCGGTTTCCATTCTATACGGGATTTGCAGTTTGGTTCAATGGCTCTCAGCCACCCCCACTATACAAATTGTTCCAGCCCCCCCTGACTGACTCGGTGAGATCTGCTTTGCGTAGCGATGTTGGAGCTTGCTGCTCTGACCTGTAGGCACAGAGAGTGCCCATAGAGTTATGTCTGGCTCCCCCATCCCAAGTTAAGGTCAAGGGGGGGGGGGGTGTTTAGACCAACACAGTCATCAATTCTAGCTCATCCCATCCCAGAAGGAAAGATGCAACTGACCCAGCTGTTACCTGCTGCAGCGGAAGTTCCTCCTAGGGATCTCACCCAAACCCCACTGGGTCAGGAAGGTTGAAAGGAGAGAAGCTTGCAGAAGAGAGGGACTCCTGCATGGTATTGTTTTAAGGATCACCACCAAGGTCTCCTTTTTTCTATAGCTAGCGATGGTCACCATCACCCCAGCTTCCTCTCAAGGAAAGGAGGAAAGGAAAGGCGCTTCCGGAGCTGCTGTCCAGCTGGCCATTGAACCCTGACACCCCACTGGCTGGCACTGACCGAGCTCACGGCTGAAGTGGTTAAAACGCCCGTTTTATTTTTTTTATGTTCTTCCCCCTTCCCCCAGCGCTTCCAGCTCAACAAGGCTGAGCGATCTTATCGATGGGTGATCATTACTCACTGGTGACAAGCGGAGCTGCAGAACTCCTAAGTGAGTGTGACAGCTTTCCAACGTGTGGCTGCAGCGCACCCAGCCTTAGACATATTCTTCAGCAAGCAAGGCAGCGGCTTAACCCTTTGCAGCCTCACTGAAGAGCAGTCGCACAGGTCACTGGGAAACCCCAACCCAGCTGGGGTTGCCTATTGAAGGTCAACAGCAAAGATGCTTGGCTTATGTCTTTTTATAGCGTGTCAGTTTCTATTCTTAGTTTGCTTTAAATGGACAGTGTAACTCCGTTCTAGCTTGGGAGACAAACATTTCTTCTCTGAGTTTAGGGACTTACTGGATCCTGTAGGAAAAACAGACCCCTTTGGGGACCACATCTTTTGTCCCTGGCTTGGGAGAGATCTCTAATCTAGCAAGCAAAACTTAATGCAAGTGGTCCCCCTTTGTTATTTCTCCCTCTGTCCCACCCCTGGCACTTTAACCATCGAGGAGTGTGATGGAGCCGAAAGTACGTGTTTGGAAATACGACTCCATTCAAAACGCTGGCTCCACCTTTTGGAAGACTATTTATAGTAGCTTCAACAGGGACAAGTAAAAGTACCCACAAGAAAAAGTGAAAGTCTCGCTCACATAGGCACTTCGCCAGTGTTCAAAGGAAAGCTTTACCACCACCATTAAACTTGAACATGTGGGAACACGTTTCTTTCGGGGGGAGAAAAGGGCATTTTGAAATGGGAGAGATAAGTCACAAGGCGCGGGGGGGGGGGGGGGAGGGGAATCTTTCAAAACTAGATCCCACCAGGCTCGATTCTGCTCCGGGACACTTCCACTGCTTTGTAAAGTTTTAAACACTGAAGAAAAAGGGAGAGAAAGAAACCGACAGGCAGAGGTATTATCAACGCTCCACCGATTTTTAATGTGCATTTAAAAAACAACTTTCCAATATCTGATTGTGTCCCCCTCTAAAGAGTTAACATCAATTGAAGGAAACCCATCAACTAAAAGTAGTAAAGATTCTGTAAGGAAGTTTTTTCCAGAGCTTCAAACTGATAGTCAGGTCAATACAATCTGCTTTTTCTTTTCATTAAGCCTTTAAAACTCAGCTGGACAAAACACAGAAGGGAATCATGCTCTACTTGCCAAGGGATAGATCAAGTATATCCCCCCATCTCTTTAATTTCTTTGATTTAAACACAAAATCAAACAAGCCTCCTTGAAAGACCTTATAAAACGCATGAAATATTCCGGATGCAGTTGTTAAAAAAACCCCGATGGCATAAGTACCGTGATTATGCCAGAATGAGTCAAGTCTCACAAACATGATTATCATTTCTATCATCCCTCTTATGTACAAACAGGAAGCTTTCTAAACTGGAAAAATTACACATTAATGCCCAGAGAAGCATTAAACAGCAAGACAAGCACTATGCTGTTGTGGAATTGCTTGTAAGTCTCTTTGCTTTGCCAAGGTGGCAGCATAGCACAGGGTTAGGCTCCTTGGAGGAATACAAGAAACATCAACATTCAAGAACACATTGTGGGATAGCTGAGGAGTGCTAACCTACCAGCTTTTAAAACCTCCCCCCACCTATTTTAGGCTGATTTATTTATTTATTTCCCTCCTTTGAATGATTAATCTTGGTTATAGTCTGATTGCTTAGACCTTAAACACTGTCTTTTTCTAAAATTGATGAAGCTTTTTTTTTAAACAAACTGCTTTATACGGTTGTAAAGGCAATCAACTGAAAGGAGAACACAGAAGTATATACTTCTTAAATTATCTGTGATTATAAGTGGGGCTAGCCTAGAG